GTTATCAAAATATGAGAACACGTAGAGAATAATTGTAATAAAATATCTCTTATTTTAATTTTTTCGTCACTTTTTGAAAGTTTGATTATACCCCCAACATAAAAAGTCTGTGTCCGCCCCTGGTTGTGTGTAATTGTCTGGGGTCAGTCAACTAGTTGTGATACATATATTGGACGGAGAAACCTCACAGATATACTTCTTTCGTGCCAGTGATGCATTGGTGCAACTCAGACTTCGCCAGGTGCACATTTCAAATCCGTGAAATCAGAATGATATGGATTGCAGTAACTTGGCACCAAAATTCCCGATTGGTTAAAATAGAACGGTTTGGCCTCGGGTGGAAGGTTATTGGCATTGGAGACATTCGTTATGGCGTAGTTAACGACAGATGAGTGAGAAGGTGAATCCCTTGGTAAGTTTGAAAATATCTTGAGCAGCAGTGTTATCAACTCTAGGAATGATCTCCTCCAATGCAGAACTTGCGTTTGGGTTCTGACGCCACTCGTCCATCACTCCACATGTATCTGCAACCGCACTGCCAATCAAAAAGAACCCAAAACACCTTGACCCCGAAACTAAATGAAAATTTCCCCTCCCTCGTCCGACCTTCAAATGATCCCGTGCCCTGATGTAAAGAGATTGAGACTGGGATTAGTGCCTTTCCCTAGGCAAGCAAGGTTAGATTTTACTTATGAACAACGAGAAACATGCTACTCATCACGAATGTCTCGGCCACCAAAATCCGTCCTACGATCATTAAGCTGCAGGCAATCAAGAATATAGCATCATACACGAATAACGAATATCTCTGTATGTGTGTGTTCAAACTGCTAGAGAAAACAACAATGCTATGCTATATACATACCAGAAAAGAATCCACTTTTTTCCAAGAACAGAGAACACTGCACGACCAACAATCGCGATAAATCAATTAATCTCTCTAATATATATAACAATAATTTGTAAACCAAAATGATTCATGCTCAAGTCAACAACGCAGAAACTTGCAGTGTCTTAGAACTTCAGCAGCTACATAAATAACAGTACACATCCTGCGAAGGGACCGAGAAAACTGCATAATTGAGTATGTTTGACCTTTAGATCGATTTTGATTACGTAGTTAAGTAGACGTAGGTTATTACAAGGGTTTGAGAAAATTGCGTATGTGGTCTGAACTATTTCCTGTAACATTGTGAAAAGTATCAGCAAGTTGATTGATGGTTATCCCCATGTTATCAATTTTACCTATGAATTCATCTGGTAACGATATCTGCCCCACACAAACACCATTTGCTGCCTCCAGATTCCTGAGCAAGTTCTTTAGATTTTCTAACACTGTGTCGGCCTGATGCAGAATATAGCTCAATCTGTTCACTATACTACTCTAAAACTTGGCTTCTCCCGCGTACAAAAAAAACTATTCCGGCTCTGTAAGTAGAGATATGGATAGTCATATGTAAACTGATTTACTGATCTAACAAATCGATTACACGGACTGAGAATAATTGAAGTTATTACATTGTCCCAGCGGTGAAAAGGAGGAGGAGACGAGGGAGAATAGCCATAAGGCTTACGCCTGCAACAGCAATGGCGAAAACAGACGCACAACATGAACAATCCAAAGAAAACCAGCCCAAGAGCTGAATGAGCTACTGACTGCAACAAAAACACACTAATTAACGTCGTCGAGAAAATACTGTACTCGTAATTTTAATTATGAGAAATTATTCAAATGATCACATATTGAATTTCACTTTGCTCGCAGAAGGTTTGTCTCGGGGGTTTATGGCACCTAGTCTCTTAAGCCAGTTTTAAGGATGACTTCTATTCAACGTAATTGATATCAGAACCACCACCCTTTGTTGGAGGACCCTCGTTGCATAAGGCGCAACTTTGGGTGGGTTACTTGCCTCATAAGACTAGTTTCATGGAATCACTCAGTTGGGATAACGATCTAATCGCTAGCAGAAAGTTCGCATTGTTAGTTTATAAGCATTTTAGACGCCCTCCCCTTACAAGCCAATTCTTAACGGTAAGTTATGTCCAAAGTGGTAGTTACAACGTACCGTCGAATAAAAAAGACAAACATGCCAAGACGAAATTAATGTGTTTATGAGAACTACTTGCATAGAGGAAATGGGAATTGACTATATTCCACAATCCCAGTGTAGGATTCCATGTTGTTAGAATGTTCTCTTTGCTGCCAATATCATCATCACTGTAGAATTGGTAAAGGTTTCAGCCACGATCCTCCTCGTATTCCATTCGGCAACCTCATTATATTCTTCATTTAATTCAAAAACCACACATTAAGATAACAGCTACAACTCAATTTGTTCTTTCATGCTTTCATGACAAATGATCTGAGACATTTTTTCGTCGTAAATTTTGTCCTGCGTACATCCGTAACTGGCTAATGTGGACCTGCGTACATCCGTAACTGGCAAATGTGGACCGTGGAGATTAGAATCACGACAAAAATGGGGTTTGTAAGTACGAATACAGAGAGAAGAAAAAGAAAAGGCATTGATGGGTTTTATATATTGGTGCTATTTATGGGAAAAAGACTATTATTAGCTCTTTAAGCATCAATCCAAAATTGTGTAGTTGGAAATAAAAATTAAATAAATAAATAAATTTTTGAACTAATACTCTACACATTGGACGATGTGATTTAACATAATATTAGAAGAAACAAAGATCATACTCAGACTCAACATTCAGTGACAAAAACAGTAAATAGATACAATCCTCCTTCCATCTTAACATACAAAAACAGATATGCAAGTCTTTTAATGTTATTTTCGGCTACCGTAACTCCCTCTACATCGATAGAGCAATAACGAGACTTTTGAGTAACTCGTAATAAGTGTGCCATATGAAAATAATAATAACGATGAGAACTTGTTGTTCACGACTCGGTAATGGATACTTATTCTCACTACAGCATCTGTTGGTGCAGATCAGCAGCTTGTTGAGCTAATTCTACCACCATAGCCTCATCGAAAAATTTGTTAATACTTACATCTTCAGACATTCCCTGACAAAAACCAATTGAAAAACCCAAGGTTAGCGATGACCAATGATTCAATCTCTTGAACCATTGGAGCAGTCCAGCTGGATCAAGCACGAAAGTGGCACTCTTAAACCAAAAAAGAAAAAGGAAGAAAAAACCGAACTCCCCAACACTCTTCAATAGAAAGTTCAAATGAAAAAATGCCACTCGAGGTCAAAAAGAACGATTTGTTCCAGAGCTCACTATCGGTGCAGATGATTTCCAGAATTATGCTCATTTGCTCAGTTATTGCAAAAGGATGGCGCAAACACTTAGATTCCAAACAGACCAACCAATTGGGACTTGAAGAAGTCATTTTTAGATCTCATGCATCTAGTCCAATACAAATGACGTCACTCAAGAATATTACAACCCGATTGGGGAGTTGTAATGCTCTTTCTGTGCACCATGGACTTCGTAATTAAATACGAACAAAAATGAGCAGCCATTAATGTAGACAGCAAAACAATTATCTTCAGATTATGAGTAGTGGACAGAAACAATGTTATACCTTACGACGCCTTGTCTTGACCATAAATTCCCGAGCTAAATGTTGGATTGGTGCTGGCTCCAATGGTCGCAATACAATGCTCTTATCGAGCGGATCTCCAGGGACAATTGCCCAGTGATCAAATGCAGAAAGACAAAATGCTTGGCCCTGGGTATGATACCTCAGGTCTGTCTCAAAACCAAATGATTCGATGACAGGTAAAAAGGCCTGGATTCCATGCAGGGAAAGAGTTATTACTACATAATTTCAGATGCAACACATATTCAAGCAAATATTTAGGGGTCAAAAACATGAAAATATGCAGAAAAGTAACTGTATGAGCTGAATTAGGGCAGTCAGACCTTAACAATGTATGCAGGGGTCCCTGGTTGTGGAACGTCCGCAGTGACATGCCCACGCCTGCGCGATAGCACTGTGTATATGGCAGACACACAGTCTATAGGTGTTTGAATCTGAAATAAAAATTCACCACGTAAGTCCAATTGTAACCTAAATACCATCGTGTTGTTGCCAGTTTCAATCTTTACAAATCTCTAATACACTACATGATGTTAAGTTTTAAATTCAGCATGTTAATCAACTGCGAAGAAACATCAATTAAGCATCAAAAGCAATATAACAAGAGTTTTCAGACTGAAAGGTGGATCCATCATCATGTGAAATAAACAAAATTAGTTAACCCAGAAATGCAAGGCAAATGCAATATATCTTTGAATAGTTCCTAGATGAAACATGCCAAATACTAGCAACGTAGAAGATGGTTACCTCGACATAGTACACTGGTTCCATGAGCCGAGGGGTTGCCATGAGGAAAGCTGAATAAGCTACACGTCGAGCTGTTGGAATGATTTGACCAGTTCCACGATTCAATGGCTCAGCTGCAATTTTTGCATCAACTATTTTGAATTTTACATTTCTAATGGGCTCATCACAGAGAGGTCCTTCTCGAGCTCCCCACTGGAATCTGTCCACAGTACATTACTCAATATTGGAGGTAGAAATCAATCATGAAGAGAACCAAAATTTATAAATTACATTACCCCTGAACAATAGAATCTTTGACGGCATTCAGCAAGCTCTTATCAACTTCACTTGAGAGAGTGTCATCTAATAGAATATTAGGTCCCTAAAAAAATGTGTCAATTTTAAACAGAAAGATTAATCTCAATAAGCGAAATCAAAGCCCTTAAATGAGGGGAAAACAAAGGAATCAAATCCATTCATACTAAAGATATTTGATGAAGACTGAAACCTTAAATAACATTATAGGTAAAGCCAGCAATCAAATCACCTGCTTATCGGGCCCAAAAGCCCAGATGGACCTTGCAGCCAGCAGATCCCAATCATATTTTGTCTGGAAAAAGTCTCCAAGTTTCTTCCGAGGCCAGTCAATGCTTACAACACCATTCTCAATGTCCTCAGCAAGTCCTCTCTCCAGCGGCTCAGCAATCTAGGAATTCACATTAAGAATCAGAAAATCCAAATTAAACAGAACATTCTCACTGTTATTCGATCAAAGCTACGTCCGGTGACTTTCTTACCATGGTAATCTTATTCTTCTTGTTAGGAGTTTCAGCAAAACATTTCATTGAAGAGGACTCAACAACCGTTTCACAAAATGACACAACAGGATCTGCAACCTATATTGATCATTATAGAAGAGAAGCAGAAGAAAAAGCACTCAGATTAGATCAAAATGAAAAGCAAACATTCAGTTTAAAATACAATATGCAATTTTCAATTTTTTAATAGAATTAAAAAAAAAAGTGTGAATGTTCACTTTAAAAATTGCAACGAAAAGGAAAAAACTAAAAATACCTTTACTTCTACTTCCGAGTACAGCTCCCTAAGATCCTTCATTATGGAATCCAGGTACAATTCTCCGGTACCTAAAATGGTATGTTCTCCTGATTCTTCAACCTTTGTAATTGCTAAAGGATAGCTCTTACTGATCTTCCTAAGACCCTCCACCATTTTTGGCAACTCACTTGGATTTAAAGGCTCAGTAGCCGTTTTCACCACTGGGAGAGTGTTGAATTGAAGGGGTCGGAATATGTATACATCCTCATCATACTCCATATTACAAAGTGTAGCTGTTTTCATAATTGAAGCGTCTACACCTTCAATGAGAACCCAAGAACCAGGAGGGGCCCTGCTTACGGGTATCCTATAACGAGCTTGATAAACCCATAGTTTTGTAACTTCTTTTGTGGTCATGTCCTCCTCATCATCTGGAGAATAGCCTTCTCCCAAGACCCTTACTGTCTGACCTGTCATAATCTCACCACTGTAGACCCTACCGAAAGCATCAAAAACACTGCAATCAGATTTAGGATACAGTTTGGTCACGTTAACCATTAGAGGACCGGAGGGATCACAATCTTCCATAGCCTGGTAAATTGTGGAATCCTTAGGTCCAGTATAGATGTGCTCAATCTTCCGTGCTGCAGAGTCTTTGGCAGATGGAATGTGTTGAACTAGCATGTCAGTAAAACCTGTGGCAGTCCCAAAAACTGAACTACATGCCAACCTAAGCAGAGGCCTAACATTTAACCGATAAGCTGCATTGCTGAGAGTCACCCCAAGTTCAGAAAGAGTTGCCTCCACACTCTTCTTATGTTCTCCAATCACTTGGCTGTATATTTTATAAAGAGGTTCAAGCACAAACTGCACAAAAGATCTGTCCACTCCATTTGCAGGTTGTTTCTTCTTGAAACTTCTTGTATCGGGATCAAAGTAATAATCACCCCAAAGACGAGAAGCAAACTTATTAGCATCAAATGGAATGCCATGGAGCTTGACATATAGCTTAGCAAATGACTGCAGTGTGAAAG